CAAGCAACAAAATTGTAGCTCTGTGACAAAATATTTGAGTAAAATATACAAAAAAAATACTCGATACAGCAGCCCATGATATCGATACTGTATCATCACATTAAATGATACGATATATTGAAATTTCTATATTTTTGCACACCCCTAGTTCGGATGGGGATGTTCTTTATAAATAAAATCTATTATTATTTTTTGTACACATATATTGCAGATGATATTTCCAAATCTAAGTGCTTGTATTTTGTGCAGGTTTGTCACACTGTGCTTGTGCAATTGGAGAAAAAAAAAGGGGGACAACTTAACTATATACTTAATTTCTGTTAGTGTTCCTAATAAAAAAAAATTTGGATCACGCAGACTTGTAGACTATGCCCCGTGGACCAGTACAGAACATCCCTGGATGACTGAGGAACTATACAGATATAACACCACATGTAATATAAAATAAAGTAGGCCTACTGTTATGAATCACTTTTGCAATATTCAATATCGATATTGAGTATTGAGTCTATTCCTCAGTGTTAAAATCAAGTTTGAAATTTCAGTGTGTGTGTATGTGTGTGTGTGTGTGTGTGTGTGTGTGTGTGTGTGTGTGTGTGTGTGCGTACATGTGTGGGAGGCAGACAATGTTGTGAGGGGCTTTAGTCCTGTGTAAATAAACCTGAAGCCGAGTGTGTATGAGTGAGCGTGACAGCCTCCTGAGCAGTGATCAGTAAACACTAAACACACACTACACAAACACTACACACACACTACACAAACACGACACAAACACACAAACGAAGGCTTGTTTCTGGTGCAGCGCCACGTTCTGCTGGGTAAACAGGGACTCACAACACATGGATTAGACACAAAGTGACAGGTGAAGCATATCCATAAAGCACTCTAAAAATATGAGAACTAAATCTTCATTTTTCATGGTTTCTTTTTATCCCAATACCTATTGTGTATATAATCTATATCTATATTTACTATATAATGGTTCTACTATAAATGTGTACATTTAAGCCCTAATCGAGACAAGTCTTAATTTAAGGTTACTTAAACTGTTTACTTAAAGGTGCGCTATGTAACTTTTCTGGTAGAGATTGTGCCACCTGTTTGACTCTATGTAGATGTTATTGGTTTTCTCTAGAATGTTCTACAGTATATCTCCATGTAGCCTGAATCATCAGCCACTTTTACTTCGTTTCACTTCGTACACTATCTGACCTCGCAGCGTTAGATTTCGTTCACTCAACAGTAGGCAGTTACTTTTTTTCATTTAACCAATCATTACTATTTGGTCGTGACATATGTAATGCGCCAGTAACGAGGCTAACTGGTATATGAAGCTTTTCCCAAATCCCGTAGGAAGAAGGGCAATAACGTCTTTAGCCTTGATGAAATTCACCAAACATTCTCTTTGTTCCGGCTTTAAATCCTCGATCTTGGGAATCGTTGACAACACAGAACATATGGCTCTTCGCTGATTGGCTGGTGCCTGAACTTGCACTTCTGGAGTTTTTGCAAACTGTCTAGTGTATTCTGATTCCTGACCTAGTCGCTGGAGAGAAATGAAATTGAGTGGAAGCACTAGGTGGCGCCAGCCTGGCTAATCTCCATGGAGACCAGCAGGCCACATCACCAGGCCGAGTTACAGGTCAGATCTCTGGAGAAGAATGCCCACTCACAGTAAGAATACATGTCTTTGCAGTAGTTTTAAGAAGAACAAAAAAAATTAAGTAAATGAATAAATACAAGAAATATTTGTATAATGAGATACTGTGGAACATCTCAGGCAAAGAAAACAGATCAGTGTGAGACATGTAGATGGCAGATCCTCCACCAGAGAAGTCACACAATGCACCTTTTGCACCTTATTCCACTGTATTGTTAAGTAAATCCCTGAACTTGAGGCTAAAAATAACTAAACTACACTTGATGATATCACAAGGTGAAACAGAGCATTTGGCTCATTGGGGACACAGACAGCCTAATAATCCAGGATTACCCAAACATGTGTGAATGAAACAAAACACAACTCCAGCTCACAAGAGTCAACTTCACAATATCAGAAAGTCCACAAGCACAACAGCTGCTTATTTTGGTTGTATTCTTTACTATATCTGATTTCTGTGTTTGAAGTGCAGTTTGGCTGTGTGCACCTGCTACACTCATAAACACATACACACAGCTAAAAATGCTCAGAGTGTGTGCACAACAGAGAGGCACATAAAAGTGGAGTTCAGATTGAGCTCAGATTAGAAACTCATAAACCTTTCGCCCTTGAGTTTGACTCGGTCACACTATTGTCGCGATACAAACATTTTAAACTCGATACAACTTTTCTTACATGATACTCACGACCAATTTCAATAGAACAAAATTCATAGAAAAACTGCACTTTTGTTTTGAGAGTGTTTTCAACTCTGTATAAAAGCTGTTTCTTTAAAGGCGCATTGTGTAACTTTTTGGCGCTCACTATCTAAGAATGTTCAATTTTGAAGTCATAGTGTCAAAAAAAAGCTAAATTAATACACTTAATGCCATTCAGGCAAAGCAATACATCTCCACAAAGCCCAGCAGTATTGGTTTAGTATTGGTAAGTATCTTGCAGTGTTTTGACAAACCTGGGTCTCACATTTTCCTTTTACAGAAAACTATGTTGTTTTCATCTTATTCACATTTGAAGGGTCTGTACCCAATTACTGTTTCTGCCCATGTGCCGCTCTGGTCTTTGAAAGTTGTAAAACAAGCTTATAAACTCATTGTGGTGAATAATTAGGACACAAGGAATATGTTAGGAAAATAAGGAATAAGTTTGAACCGCTGCTTTTAGGCGGTAAAAATCAGGTGCAACTGATTAATACTGTGAATGCCCTCAACCCGCTGATACATGAAAACTAAGCTGTTCATTTTCCCCCTCAATAAATCAATTGTCAGTGAATGGAAAGTGAAGAAAGTAATGCCTTTTGGCCTGGGATTTTCTATGGACTTGTGTAATTTATGTGGTGCGTTCACAGTAGACCTTCCAACTGTGTAAACATCCTTATGTTTGTCAGTGTCTTAAGCAGCTGACTGGCCTGCAAACCTCTGATGGAGTCCTCAGCCAAAGACCTGAACAAACGTTGCATTCAGGGTCCCAGCAGCAGAGTATGGACTTTCAGGCATTTGTGAACAACATACATCATTGGGAGTCACAGTGTATCCTGAAGCATGGGGAACAGGTTGACTTGTAAACCATATGATGACATTGTACATGTGTTAGTATTTTCTGCAACTGATACTTTACAGCTGAGGTTAACAACATTCCCTCTGGGTGAAGCTAACTGGAGGCATTGCTTACATCACAGGATATCTAGCATTACTAGTTACTCGAATATTACAAGATTATAAAAAGAGCAAACAATATAAAAGGTAGGATTTCATAATAAGTAGCAAACTTGACTCATGTCAATTAAGGCACAATTACACTCATGTACGCTTTATGTCTTAATAATAAAGACTGTCTAATTTTATCCAGAGTTGTCATGTGTGCTGTCACCTGGACTTTCAGGTCTGTCTGCTTCTTCAGTTTACAGTGTGTGAGGAGGATCCTTGAAGGAATATGCAGTCACTGTCATGACAAATGATTGAATGAATCATTAAATGTGCATTATGTACCTTTTCTGGTGAAGGGGCCACCACTTTGTCTCCATGGAGAGGTGCTTTTCCCAGAATATTCCACAGTATGGCATAAAACTCTTCAATCTCCATGAAGACAAGCAGGCGACACCGCCGAGCAAAGTTACACTCACAGTAAGAATGCACGTTGATTATGAACTTATTTTTGAGCAATAAACCACAAATGAATTCATGCAAAACAGACAAATTTAATGCTATACTGTGAAACATTCCAGGTAAAGCAATAACATCTTAATGGAGATAAAGCAGGTGAGGAATCCCCCAACACAAAAGTTACATAGTGCACCTTTAAGAAATCAGATGCACTCACAGACCATGTTTACTTCACTGACCTTGAAATGTGCTGGTTGTAAAGGCTGTACCAGAGACTTACCAGTGTGCAGTGCCTTCTGAAAAATTCTCAAAGCAGCTTTGACAGTGAAAGTTACGGCGACGGGGAAAACATGAAGTGGACTTTCACAGGAGTGGAGCCTGAGTGATAATTTACATACTAGTGGATTGAATTGAAATTTGAATGTGTTCACTCTGAATCATATTATTATAAAACAAAGCATTCTCACATGTGATTACATATGAACTCGTTATTTGTAGATGGGATCATGTAAATAGGCCATGAGGTGATAGGCCTATTTCGTGAGACAAAAACAAAGGGGGGAGACTACATAGATTAATTGTAAATGTATAGATTTTATGTGCATTTTAATTTGCTAACCTGTCTAAAAATGATGTGTTAAAAAATAAATAAAGAAAGAAAACTTAAAAGTAAAGCAAACAGTTTACTCAAATGCTTCTCACGCTTAAACTGGAATTACAAAACGCTTAAATAAAAAAGTAGGGACGTAACTCATAAAGTAAACGTTTCTTTCATTTAAACGTGAATAAAACAGTTAGGCCTAATAAAGAGGCTACAAATTACGCTAAGGCACTGCTTCCTTTTGTCTCCAGCGGCACGTGAAAGCAGCGCGTAACCCTGATCCATTGATCCAAAATCCAGGCGCCGCTGGGGCTCGCCGTTTCCACGCCTCCCACTTTCTCCCCCATTGTGGTGAATCTCCGGCTGACACACACTTTGCTAGACTTCGCCAGGAGTTGGAGCTACCCGAGGACGTTACGCTACAAATACGTACAAACATTACCTTTTGACGCATGGATTTTCTTTTCTCATCAAAGGAATTTCCGGGAGGCGCAATGGTCCGGGCTTTTGGACATTTCGGAGACTCTTGTTGGAGAGAAAGAGCTGGCGCCGAAAAGTTGTAAAAGTAGTTTCCTTTGAAGTTTTCCTCCTCCACCACCGGACTGCTGCTACTACTACAGCCCGTAGACCCGCAACCATCATGGCGAGGCGGACACGGGGACACTTAGTGGCTCTGACGCCGAATTTACGCACTGCTTTTCGGAATAAACGAGCAGGGATTTACAGGCGCATGGTGGCATTTTCTTGGAGCTTCGTGTTCATTTGCTCGGCTCTATCGTTTGGATATTGCGGAGCTGAGGAGTTTAATATCTTGGAGGAAGCGCAAGTTTTGGCTGATCAAATGAAAAAGCTGTCCACGCAGGAACTGGGTGTTTTTACAATGCAGGTAAATCCATCAACCTTTACAATTGGAATGTTTGATTGTATTACTGACCTATTCTGCTTTTGACTGACTCCTCTGCTAACACAAGGTTCACACAAGGCCTGCACAGTTATTATTTATTTTATCCACACACGATAAACCCATTTTATTTTAGTTATGTAGCTTAGAATCAGAAATACATCTTGTCTCCTTGGCTTCGACGCGCGCTTTGAAGTTTTATCTAGGGCATCAGTGCGCCGCAGATTTGGTGTTGTTGGCAGCTTGCGTTGGGTTACTCCGCTTGCACTAATCTGTTAAATTTGACACCTTTCACGATTTAACTGTGTCGTTTTTTGCTGTTTATTACATCCACGTCTTATTTAAAAAGGACAGCTACAAGGCGTTAAGTTGGCGCCTGCATGTCAACCTCCTCTCACCTGCGAAGATGGTTACATTCTTGGTCGTTTGAATCAAGATTATTGAACTTTCATTAATTATTCATATTGGCTGACAACATATGAAATTCTAAATGCGGATGAATTTAATTTTCTTGTGGTTTCAGTTCAGTATGATGTGGTTAGAGCTGTTGTATGTTCCTTCTTACGTTTGATTGACACGTTAATATTTGAAGATCTGTCTGTACAAGAAATGCCCGTTGAAATTCCTCAAAATTATAGCCTAGTCTAATGTTTTTGTGATTGATGATAATTATTCTTGCATGCATTATATAAAAACAGCTCTTATTATATAAAAATATGGAACAAATTGCAGTGCTGCCTACTCATTCAGACGAGACTTGAAGGCTTGACTGCATCACTTGAACGTTACCTTACAATTACATATAATTGGAATGAATGCGCTAAAAGACGGTGGTTGCTTTAATTAATGTATTCCTCTTGTCTTTTTTGAGTACGTCTGAGCCAGAGGTGTGCACTTATTATTTTTTCCTGAAGGCAAGTTTGGAATCCAGGCTTGAGCTGGAGGCCGGACTAACGAGATCAATCGGAATTTTCTTTATTAAATAGGATCTGTAAGGTATTTCTATGCTATAATTGTTACCAAAAACTTGAGGGGCAAATTAAAATACGGTTGGATGTGGCTGCAAAATGCCCAGATGTGAGTACCAGCCTTTATACATCACATATCCTATCAGTGTTTCTCATTTGTTAGTATATTTTAAATTAGCTCTTACATTTTCTTGTTTTGTTGATATTTATGTGAAAATTATCCTGCAAAAACATAATTTAAGAAGTTACAAATGTACCACAAAAAGCCTTTCATACTCAGATACATTCATTAACAGCTTTCTTATAAACTTGGTCCTTGTACCCCTGATTGAAGAGCAGTGTTCCCAGGGGGTCCCCAACCACTAACCAGTCCACGGACCAGGCCCCAGAGGAAAATATTATTAGTTAATATTATTTCTTTTAACATTTTTTAATAGGCTATCACAATATCTGTCTGGTTTACTGATAAATATAGGAGAAATTAACATGGAAAACAGTAAAAATTAGAATTAAAACTTTAATTTGAGTTGAGTTAGAGGGTTGTATACACTTTTTGCTATTACTGGTCTAGCAACGGTGCACTGTACCCTGAAAAAATATTTAGTACCAGTAGGGATGTAACAATAACCAAAATATCGTGATATCGTATCGTCAAAGTTCTCACAATAATACCGTGGAACATCAAAATATATCGAATTATAGAGTTATGGTGCAGCAGTAGCTAAAAAAAAAGACAGAACTACATAGACCATGATCCTTTGCTCCATTTCAGTGCAGACTACATGAAGAAATAACTTTCTAAGCACTTTTAAATCTTAGTTCTTTGGATTAAGTCTTGTCAAGGTGTTTTAAGAGGAAAAAGTAGCATATTCACACAGTTTTATTTGCAACCTCCAGAAAATATTGCAAGAAATATCGTACTGAGAGATTTGGATATTGTTACATCCCTAATCGTGAGCCTCCCCTCCATATCGTGAACTTTTCCCAGGATATTGCAATAAATATTGTACTGTGAGGTTCATACTGTGATGATATCATATTGTGAGACTTGGATATCATTACACCACTAAGTATCAGTCCTTACAAGAAAATAGCTTGGCCTGTTGTTCTAAGTAACCAGATTGAACCAGTGTAATTCTCCATAGTCACCAAATGGCTGGAGGAGCAGGGTGAGGTGGTAGTGGGGGGGGTCTGTGTTTAGCACTTCAGAGTCAGTCCCGGGCTCAGGGGACACGAGGGGGGGCAACAGGGGGCCGAGGCATCACACACAAATGCTGTTGATCTTCACGGGCCCCTCCACGCTGAGCCAGGCACCTTCATCCAGACAGGCACTGATCCCGCCAGATCTGCCCCGTCACTGCTCATTTTCTCCTGAGCTTCACACTCACAGTTTTGGCCTGTTTCTTACGTTTCCACCAGGCCTGTCATGAAAAATCAATTTATGGTTCAATATATGAAAGGTGCGACAATCAAAGAGTTCATTTGGTTATTTTTGGTTATTGTGTCAGTGTCAGTTTCAAATATTATCGTTTATCGTCTATATTTTCCTCAGCAATATGTTTTTCTTCAAAATGTGTTATCGTGACAGGCCTAGGGTGCAGTAGGCCTGTCCAGTCTAGCTATAAACGATAACGTTGTAAACCACTTTGTGCCACTAATACGATAAAGCAAAGAAATCCCAGTAAACTCATTTCTAAATTAACTTAAACCTGATCGAAAATAAAGCACAATCACTGATCAGTGCAATACAAAACAACACATTTGGTTTGTAAAATAGATGATTCTACACTCCGCGTATTAAAAGAAAAAACAAGACACTGTTCTCCTCTAGTGCAGGTAAAGGGTGGCTATATATTGACACTGAGCTCCCCTATTTATTTATTTATTTTTTATGTCTATTATTGAACGAAAAGTTGAAATAGTAATCTTGATGAACCCTCTTAATCCTGCATTTCAAACAAACATTTCCTTCCTGATTTCATGGACTCTTGGAGGACTCGGTGAGGACCCGGTGAGGACCTTTCCCCATTCAAAAGCTATATCATTTTTTGATTTGATTTGCTTTATCGCTGTGACCGTGGAGGATGGTTGCCATAGCTTGAAAACCATGATTTACACATCTGGCTGGTGGTTCTTTGTCATATTATTATCAGTTTTCTCGGCCATAACCTAGGTCTTCTAAAGATATATAAAACGGGGTGTAAGTATCTCTTCTATCATGGCAAGTTTTTATCATTGTGCTCATTGACAGCCCTAGTACAAACGTGACTCTTGTGCTCCATCTATGCTCTTCCCTACGCATATGGTATAAATCAAGTTTGTTTGTCATTTACTGTTAAATTGAACTTGCAAAATATTAAAGGGCCCATAGTGCGCTATTTTCTGATCTATGAGATAGGGGTGTAACGATATCCAAGTGTCACGGTATGAATCTCACGGTACGATATTTATCGTGATATTGTGGGAAAGCTCACAATATGGAGGGGAGGTTCATGATTAGGGATGTAACAATATTCAAATCTCTCGGTACAGTATTTTCACAATATACATCTCATATTTATTGAGATATTTTGTGGAGGCTGAACAGCTAAAACTGTTAATGTGCTACTTTTTACTCTTGAAATGCCCTGACAAGCCTAAATCCAAAAAACTCAGACTTGAAAGTGCTTAGAACTGTTATTTCTTCATGCAGTTCGCACTAAAATGGAGCAAAGGATCATGGTCTGTGTAGTTCTTTCTGTCTTTTTTTTTTTTTTAGCTATAGCTGCGCCATAACTCTTAATTTAAGCAAAGAGACTTGTAATTCGATATATGTGATGGTCCACGATATTATTGTGAGAACTCTGACAATACGATATCACGATATTTCAGTTATTGTTACATCCCTACTATAAGACATACCCGGAGTTGTATTTTGTTTAATTCACACACATTAAACACACAATTTACACAAACAACACAAATTAGGTTGAGTTCTTCTCTCAAACACACTGTTCCAGGTAAAAAGGTATAGCTGCTAATTTGAAAACTACGGCTTCATGACATCACAGAGGTAACAACGTTATAACATGTCTAAAAGCTCACAAGAGTCAATTTTGTGTAATATTTAAGGCTTGAGTAACACACACACACACACACACACACACACACACTGCAGTGGTGTGTTGTGCAGCAGGCAGAGAATCAAACGAGTAGTTGTGAACCAGTGGGATTTGATTGAAGCTATGCTTGTAATGAATTAGTTAGAGGCCTGTATTCACACATGTGCATAGTCTGTTCTGTGTGTAGAGTAGAGAGTGCATTGATCTCATTTAGATAGACAGTGGCATCGTTTGCGTGATTGGATGATTAGGCAATGTTATTCAATCCAGATTTTGGTGCTGGATGAAATAATGATCTGTCACAGTCCCACACATGATTCAAAATACTGGACGACGATTAATGTTTTGGTTTTTGACACTGACAAGTATCTGGTGTAATAGAAAAAGAATTCATTTTTCATTAATTGCCATTAATTTCAATTAATTGTTCTCACAATAATATCATGGACCATCACAGTATATCGAATTACAAGTCTCTTTGCTTAAATGAACAGTTATGGTGCAGAAATAGCTAAAAAAAAAAATAGACGGGGAACTACATAGACCATGATCCTTAACTCTATTTCAGTGCAGACTACAAGAAGAAATAATAGTTCTAAGCACTTTTAAGTCTTAGTTCTTTGAATTAAGTCTTGTCAAGGCATTTTAAGAGAAAAATTAGAAAAACTTAGCATGTTAACAGTTTTAGCTGTTTAGCCTCCAAAAAATATCTCAATAAATATCGTACTGTGAGATGTATATCATGAAAATATTGTGCCGAGAGATCTGGATATTGTTACATCCCTAAATGTGAGCCTCCCCAACATATCGTGAGCTTTCCCATGATATCGCAATAAATATCGTACTGTGACGATATCGTATCGTGAGACTTGGATATCGTTACACCCTAATTATTTTCAAATATAAATTGTATGAC